CACGCAGGCTGCCATCTGCCTTACCCCAGCTGTTCCTGACCTGCCATCCGGCTCCCACCAGGCATGCCTGGTATCTGCCAGGTCAGTTAAGCAATGGACGAAAGACGTTTGAGGCCAAGGTACAGCGTGGATGAATGTGTTGGCAGTACACAGCCTGCCACGCAACCCTGACTCCCTCTCATCAATGGGTGGCATGCCACTCTCCATGACAACACAGAGAGCTGCATTCTGAGAAAAACAGACCTTCCCAGGGAGCTCTGCAATGGTCTTTTTTTATTGTATGACAATTCAGCATTCCCCATGTTTGCTAAAAACCAAAAGCCTCCTTTAAAAATATTATATTCTTAAAATAGAGAGACTATCTTGTATATGTTAGAAATTTCTATCACTTATCCTTCAGAATGACCATTATGTTGCAGATGAAATGATCAGTTCTGATTATTGACACTCTGATAGTAAAAGGAGCAAGTTTAATTTCATGCATTTCTAAACTGCCATGGTCCCAAAATGATTTGAACATCTAAATAAGCCTTTAAAAATGAAATTTGCAACTGGGTAAAGAGAAGGATACCAAGCAGAAAGAAGGAATTTTTATGTCTCGAGTCTGCATTCTATTAATGCAGTAATCAAATCCTAACACAGGAATTGTCAAGCTTGTTATAACCATGAAAATCATGGCTTTCACTGATGCCACAATTCTACCGATGACATGCAGCTTTCTCTCCTGAAAAGGGAGATGCAGAGCCGGCTTAGGGGCTCATCTGTCTGCACGTGGACTTGGGGAGTCCTGAGCTCAGAACTGCTGACTAGGTAGAGATGCTCTCCACAAAACGATAAAGGAAAACTTGAGAGAAGCTTGCTATAAAATAACATTGACCTCAAGCTGACAGATCCCAAAAGGAGATCTCTTGTGGAGAAAAAGCTAAGATCATGTTCTTAGAAAACATACCACAACAACCCACAGACATAAGAAATATAAGGGCTTTCCTCTTATCCCTTAATTTGAATTTTCTCCTGCTCTACTATGCTCTATACTCTGTCTCCATGGAATCCCTTCTGCCTGAGGTTCCTTAAAAAACAAACAAACTGTAGCCCCATCTGGGATCCTTACCGACAACATGTTGCACTGGGAAATGCAAGATTTGTTGCATTTCTGCAACACTCCACTGCTTTTATAGCACCAGTGTTCACATGCCATCCTTGTGGTTTCCCTTCTCAGCTCAGGGCAGGTGTGGCTTACACGCACACCCTCTGTGTTGGGTGTACTCTGCGAACCTCTATGCCTGAGTCTCTGCATCAATAAATTAAAGATGTAAATCTAATTCTTAGGAATGCTATAAATTTACAAGAAAGCCCAGGTAGGAAGCCTTGGTTCTTCAAAGGCCAATGAGAGGGCATGTGGGTAGGAAGCAGAAGTAATCCTATGCCCAAGGAAAAAGAATATTTTGCTCAATTCTTTTTAAAACTAACATGGGATAGATATAACCCTTTTTAACAAATATAAAGCATAAATCAGCAGTCCACTTCTTATGCCCACCAATCAGATGCCACCGAGAGGCCCTTTCCTCCTGCTGCCATCCACTGTGCTGTCCTACCTTTCTCCTCCAGGCCAGCAAACCTTCTCTGCTGCTGCTGCTGGGAAATATCACGGCTTCTCCCCTCACCAGGCGGGTGCGTGTCGGGGGCGAGTGACACCAAAATCAAGCAGAAGTGTTTCTTCCCAACCCCGCCCCAGCCCTGGTCGCCCCAGACAGCATCTCTGGGCCTGCCTGAACCTTCTCACTTTTCCCTATGTCTTCTTCCCGGGAAAGCGGAGACTGCTATATCTAAGTTTTCACTTGGAAAACAGAACACATATCAACTGTACGTCTGTCTTACTCTACAAGGTTTAAACGAAAATAGGAAAAGAAAGCCTTCTCTGTAAGAAGAAAAATAATCATAATCACTGGGGAGACTGATCCCCAGAAGACAAGAGGATGTGGCAGCTACACTCTGCTTGCAGAGCCTGGTCTCTACCAGCTGAGGCAGGGAAAGACCTGAGCCAATGACAGAGGTGGCAGCCAAAAAGTACTGCCTGGGAAGAGAGAAATCCTCAGGGCAGGCCAGCAAGAAGCTGTTCGTTGTCTAGGATGAAGAAATTGCTCTCTATTTCCTCACCCTTGACCTGTGATTCTACGTTTAGTCTGAGACGTCTAGTCACCCCATGTGGGAACGCTGGGCCTTACAACCACTGTGTGCTGAAGACCTAACTGGTGGAAACACCACAGGCCCTGGTGCCTTCAGGATTAACATTCCTGATTTCAGTTCATGGAGAGACACACCAGGAGTTCACAACTTATAACTTTTATTGTTGCCAAGGCATACCTATGTTCTGTACATTCTCTAAGGCTGGAAAGCAGGAGTGAGACACTCAGCTAACGAGTGAGCCCAGCCCCTCCACTATCTACATCTGGATGCAGCTGTATGGAGTCATATCTAGTTGCATACACATACAACAGTAATCTCACAAAGTCACAGAAACATTTCTTTCTTAAAAAAAAAAAAAAGCTGAGAAAAAGAGAGCCAATTTTCTTGGTAATAGAAGGGAGGGGAAAGAATCAACATAAACAAGTAATAAGTTTGATTAGGCAAAGGACGGGATGTCAAATTAAATAGTGGCTCAGATTTAAGATGGACAAGACTCTTCTATATGATCTATAAGGAAACAGAAGTTTTAGGGAACTTTCAGTAAGACTCCAGGCCACACAAAACTGAACATCATGTGAAAAAGCAATCATGGAAGGTCTTGAAGGGAGGGCTTACACTTCTCAGTTAAACGTTAATGTGTGAGAACAGGGACAGGGTCTAACTTTGTCACCATATGACCAGCACCTTGGACAGAGCCAGGGCACACACCAGGTGCTCAGTAGATACTTGCCGAATGCTGAATCACTGAAATCAATTACATGCTGCAGAGGTACCTGTAAATCTGGGACACATTTTTTCTAAGACTATAGCACTGTGTCCCACAGGATGAAATTCTAAGAAATAGTTTCTATTTAGAAATTGGAACTATTTTCCGTGTTTTGCCATGAACAAAGCAAAAGAAAGAAATGAGCAGACGCCAGCTCAAATACACCTTTCACCACAGGCAGAAATAACTATGGAAGGAGCCCTAGAGAACCAAAGACACTAGAGGAAGGCAGGGCTTCTCTCATCAAGGGACCCATTTACGTTCATCTTCACCAAGGGCAGGAGGCACTTGCCATTATGATTTCAGCATCTGGAAGTTAAACCTGGAACACTGTTAGAGGCAACCTTAGATTTAAAATAAACGTGTTTTACCGAGTGGAATATGATCTACCTGAGGTTTATATTTAAACACAAAACACCAAAGAGGTGGCAGAACTTACCCAGTTCACGGAAAAAAAGGAAAGCCTCTTTACTATTTAGCAAAATCAAATAAAAGAAAATTGAATAAATTTTCACTGATACAGAGAAAGCTTTTAAAAATGCACCCATGGGGGGCCAGCCCCGTGGCGCAGCAGTTAAGTGAGCATGCTCCGCTTCGGCGGCCCGGGGTTTGCAGGTTCGGATCCCGGGCACGCACCAACGCACCGCTTGTCAAGCTACGCTGTGGCGGCGTCCCATATAAAGTGGAGGAAGATGGGCATGGATGTTAGCTCAGAGCCAATCTTCCTCAGCAAAAAAGAGGAGGATTGGCATTGGACGTTAGCTCAGAGCTGATCTTCCTCCCTCCCCCCGCAAAAAAATGCACCCACAGGTCAGCTCGGTGGCACAGTGGTTAAGTTCGCAGGCTCCGCTTTAGCCGTCCAGGGTTCACCAGTTTGGATCCTGGGCGAGGACCTACGCAACACTTATCAAGCCATGCTGTGGTGGTGTCCCACAAAGAAGAACTAGAAGGACCTACAATTATGATATACAACTATGTACTGGGGCTTTGGGGAGAAAAAACAAAAAGAGGAAGATTGGCAACAGATGTTAGCTCAGGGCCAATCTTCCTCAAAAAAAAAGAAAAGAAAAGAAAAGAAATGCACCCAGAGGGAAACAATTGAAAACTCTCTCGATCAAAACAAAGTGAGATCGAAAGGGAAGTTCTAACGCAGTGCTTACTGGAAACATTTTAGATTTCAATCTGAGTCTGTTTTTGGAACCTAGGAATTGCAACAAATCATAAACCAGATTTTTAAAATCACAATAAGGAATCACAATAAGGAGTTAATTGTAAAGTATCATTTTAATAGATATTTGATAATGATAGGTCAACTGTAAGGATGAATCATAATTTACTTGACCAAATCCTCATTTAATGAGCTTTAAGTCACTCCCATCTTCTGCTGCTGTAGAGGTGCTGAACTATATGTGATTCCTTCCACACACGAGTGAGTTCACAGTGGGACTGCTCACCGTGTGAGAAAGAATGAGGTAAATGTCGTACTGCAGAAAAAGTTTTAAAATATAGTGTTTTAATTGAGAATAGGTGCCTAATACTGCATATAGAGTACATTTCCATCTGAATAAAAAAGGGAGAGAAGAGATAAACAGATGTAATTTTTCACCTATCAGATTGACCAAAAAAATCCAAAAGTTTGAAAATGCCCATTGCCCAAGCTGTAAACAGGCCTTTCTCCTCCACTGCTGGTGGGATGTAAACTGGTTAAGTCTCTGTGGAAAGCAATCTGGAAACAGCTGTTGAGATTACGAATGGATATACTCATGAGAACCATGTGCAAAATGACATACGTACAAGGTTCTTAATTGTTGACTGCATCGTGTATAATACAAAGAGAGCACAAACAACCTAAAGGGAACTGGTTTAAATAATATATTCATAGCAGTTATAAAAAATGAGGAAGCTCTCCACATACTGATATGAGAAAGATCTCCAAAACACAAACTTAAAAAGCAAGGTGCAAATATTATATATAATACATACCACCTTTCGTATTAAAGATGTGTGAAACAAGAGAACACATAGCCAAATGAAATGGAAAACTTACTTGTAAAGGTAATACTCTGCGTGGTCTATCTCTTCTCGAGATGAAATGTTGTCCACAAACTGAAAGACAGAAAAAGGAACCTTTGCTTGAATACAAATTATGCCTATACCGGGCCTAATTCATATACTGACCTTAAAAAAGACAAAACACCCATTTTATTGGAACAGTGCTCCCCAGGTGTGACTCCATCCTTGAAACCCCTTTATGCTAATACAAACAAAGAATATACAATGGTTTCTCTTCTATGTATAGACAACCCTGGTCAGAAAACTGTTTGAAAACCAAACATGAACCTTGCTCAGAATAAGAGAGCTCCTCTTACCATATTTATAACTAGTCATCGATATTTCCCTTTATCTTTAAACCCTGGTATTTTCTCTATGTTCCAAGCTCCAAATACATGGGAACACATAGTTGAAAGCATAAAGACTCTAACGGCTGAAAAAATATGGCCCAAGAGATGAAAATCTAAATTCAGAGAACTCAGTCTTGGAACCATTTTCCTACTTTGATGTAGGTTTTGCTGTGGGCCAGTCAGCCTGTGGTTCTTCTACCAAGTCTCCCTTCCAACCTGAACATGCTCTAATTCCAAACCAAATAAACACACAGAAAGGATTATACCAAGGACGGATCCCACCCTAAAGTAGAGACTCAGAGGCAAAAAAGATGGAGTAGGAGATAATGCATGTTGCGAATATAATTAAAACCTCATAAAGAGGGGGAGAAGAGAGAAAAGGGTGAAACGATCTAAAAACGCTCAGGACTTATGGATTTGATTTAGAAATCTCATTAGGGGGCAGATAAAATGTGGTTCAAACGCAGGACCTATGGTTGGGAACTAGTCTCCTGATCGCTCGCTGTGTGCCACAAACAGATGGCACAGCCCCCTGGAACTCAGCCGCTCCACCTGCATGAATAGAATAAAGGCACCTGCCCTGAAGAGCGGGAGGCCCAATGAGGAAAGGTATCTGGAAGCTCCTTAAACTCTGTAGTGCTGCCTAAACAAATATCAGGTATTACGGCACACAGAGATTTTATCCGTCAGGTAAGGGATGAACCAATGGTCTTTCAGTTCCTCTCCAATCTGAAAATTATGAGTCTATAAGATTTAAGTTACGACCTAGTTAAACTGTCTCCCTACTAAAATGAGAACATCAATGGGCAGAAGGAAAGGACCCAGACTAAAAAAGACGACCGCTTCCTTCCTTTTTCTCTTCTAGATTTAACAATACCTTGAATTTTATAGCGCCATTAATTCCTACAAAGAGTTTTCACAACTAAGATCTCATTTTAGCATCACATCAGCCCTGCGAGGAAGATACTGGAAATGAGGAAACTGAGGGGGCCCAGTTACCCAATATTATAAAGTGAGTTCACGATAAGGACGAGACCAGATCTATTAGAGGGAGGCAACAGAAAAGCACTCTGATGTCAGAGAGGTCTGGTTCTGAAGCCCAGTATTTTCACTTATGAGCTGCGTGAACTTGGGAAGGTTATCAACCATTCTGAGTCTCACATGTAAAGTGGAGACGATAATGCTTATCTCGCATGGAAAAATTAAAATCAATCAGGTATACACAGTGATCACTGACACTGGAGTCTGGTAAATTTATTACCTTTCATTTCAGTCAAAGAAATGTGCTACTTCACCATCAAGTATCTATTAGTAACTACAAAAACACACCAGTCTCGAAAAATACTTCCTATGAAAGGCAGTCTTGATTTATACAGTTTCATCTATATAAGAGGCTTTCTTACCTTCTTCCTCCTTCTTCTTTGAAAATATATACATTTAAGTTTTCTTACCCGTGATATTGTTAAAGAACTAACAGGCAACTTTCTCTCATATGTTTTATCCATTAAAGATGCTAGATCAGCTGTGAAGACAAAGAGAGAAAAAGAACTTTGTTAAATATACACATTTCTTAAGAAAAATCTAACAGATACAACTCCTGCCAGATAGCTGCCATCATTATGAAGTCAGTATTGAAACAGACGCTCTTTCTTGCTCTTTTTAGAAATTATTTTTGTATAAATTAAAGAGGACAAAGGAATATTAACATTTTAAGAAATGATTCATTTAATTGGAGTAAGGGTTATTTTAAAAATTCTAGCACATATTTAGCGTTTTAAAAAATGGATCAACAAAGTATCTCTGGAAGCAGACATGAGAAAGTGTTATCATTGAGACACCAGGGAAAGGAATTAGATGGCAGGGGACCAAGGGAAGGAGACTCTTCATCGCTCACACATCTATTCCTTTCGCATTTTGAACCAGGTAAATATACTAGCTATTCAAAAAATTTTAAAATTGGAATTTGTCAAATGACTTGTATACATTCCCTGAACAAATCCAAGAGACACCCTGGCTATACGTAACGATTTTTGGCTTGACTTATTCCTGTTCTGGTTCCTTTCAGCAGAACATCCACAGGAATACTTGGTATTCCTGAGATTACACTGTTATCTCCGAGTCTAAAAAGTCTGAAATTCTAGGCACCACTCTCCAAAAGGATTATTTCACACCTTCTCCAACTTACACTGTGCTCTCCCGCTTCTCCCTCACCCCCACTCTCAGCTCACGGTGGAGTGTCTCGTTTCCCTGAGTGTAAAACAGAAGCAATCAAAAGACAACTTCATCCTCCACCATCAGGCCTACCGGGCTCCCAGCATCTATGCCCATATACTCTGCCTTCTGGGTTGTTTTTGTTTTGTTCTGTTTTGTTTTTCAGAGGATGAACTTTATTAAACAAACAATAAAAACCTCCCTTGAGTTCGTATCTCCTTCCAGCGGTTTCTCCTCTGCTCTGCTCCCCTCAGCAGCACGTTGCTTGCAGAGTCATCCCTGATACAGCCGTCACTCCTTCCTTAGTTTCACTCTGGAACTCACTCAAATCGGATTTAGGCTTCCATCCCTCCACTAACACCGAAGACCACCTCCACACTGCAAACCCAGAGGTTAACCCTTCATCCTCATCTTCCCCGACCTCTGACTAGCAGTTAATATAGCTGACCATTCCATCCTTCACGCACCACTCTTCGCTCCCTCCTTCTTGGGTTCCTGTGCAGGACCTCCTCTTCTTGACTTCTGAATGTTGGGGTGCCCCACATCTGAGCAGGAGACTCTGCTCCTCACCATCTCTCAGTGCTGGGTGATCTCCTTCTCCCTCGCACAGCTTTCGTCATCGTCTGCACAGTACTGACTCCAGGCATACAAGGCCTCCCTGACTTAACTCCAGACTTGTATCTTCCCCTGCACGGGTGACATCTCCACATGGGTGTCTAAAGGCATCCAAACGTTACATGTCCTCTTAACTCTCCAACCCGCCACTCCGCACCTGCTTTCCCGGCCTTTCCCATCTCAGTGAATGGCCACTACATTCGCTGGCTTACTCAGGCCAAAAACCTAGGCGTCGGCCTTGACTCCATTCTTTTTCACGCTCCACAACCAACCATCAGCAAGTCCTATATAGGCTCTGGATTTGAAACGTAAATATAAATACATATTTCTCACCACCACCACTGTTAACCTCTCACCTCCTGAGCGACCAGTCACCTCAACCACTGCCCCCACCCTTACCATCAACCCTCCACACAGCAGTCTGAGTGAGCCTCTTAAAAGATCAATCAGATCCTGTCATTTCTTTTCTCAACCAGCCAATAGCTTCCTATCATACTTGGAATAAAATCCAAAATATTTTATATGACCTACAAATGCCTACATAAGCTGGCCTGTTTGTTTTTTGTTTTTCCTGTCTTTCACACTTAGAAGTAAAATCCATGAAAGCAAGGACTTAATTTACTGATATATTCTCAGTCCCTAAAACAGTTCTACAAAAGGCACTCAATAAATATCTAAAAAAATGAATAAAAGAAAGAAAGGAAGGGAGGGAGAGAGGAAAGAAAGAAAAAGAAGCAATTGGATTTCCAAGTATTTTTTACTCCCTGGTGGAAGAAATTAGTATCAAGTAATAAGGAGACCAGAGGTAATCAATTGACAAGTATTTGATGAGGACCTAGTGCTGTGCTTTTAACCATTTTTTCCTCTTTCCTTTCCCTGGGCAATGCTTTCAATGACTCAGTAGCTACTGGGGAAAACCTGATATGATGTAAAAGTAATTACTTTTCTTATGACTATCTTAAAGGGACTGACACTAGGTGACTCAAGAACGTTAAACCACACACACACAAACACACACACACACGGTCCCTAAAACCTCTTCACACTAAGGCAAATTAATACTGTTAAATCTACTTACTCACAAAATGACATTCAACAGCATTCCCATGACACCACGTCTTTTGATCACGTCATAATAGAGGCTCTTGTGTTGAGATGATAGGCAATATAAAGTTTAAACTTTACTCAAAGTTTAAATTTTCATTAAAAAAAAGCAGGGTCAGGGGGACGGCCCAGTGGCGTAGTGGTTAAGTTCGCATGCTCTGCTTCAGTGGCCTGGGGTTCGCAGGTTCAGATCCTGCTCGTGGACCTACTCACCGCTCATCAAGCCACGTTGAGACGGCATCCCATATAGAAGAGCTACAGTTCTACAACTATGATACACAACTATGTACTGGGGCTTTGGGGAGGGGAAAAAAAAAAAAGGAGGAAGATTGGCAACAGATGTTAGCACAGGGCCACTCTTCCTCAAAAAATAAATAAATAAAATTTTAAAAAAGCAGGGTCAGGTCTGCTGGCCTAACTCAAATGGCCTCTGTTTCCTCGTGGGTTTCACATTGTGCACAACGTATAACTAAACATCGAACTGAGTTGGCTTCTGTAGGGTGGTAACTCAAGATTCCATTTTAATCCTTCACACCAAGACACCTTCAGTCAAGTGAAATTGGCTGGGGCCTCAGAAAAGGCAGCAGCTGCAGAGCCAGCACCTTATGAACAACGTTTGCATCCTGCAGGTCGGAGCAAGGTTAGCTGCTCAATAACACGCGTGACCAGGCACCTCCCAGGACAGCACCAGAGTGATGAACGAGGCAGAACACCACACAGGGCAGGCACGGCCAGGACGCTGGGGCAGCTTTGGCCTGCAGAGGGCCAGCGCCACAGGCTTCTGGACTGTGGGCTTCAACAGTCAAATCACACCCATGTTTCAGTGAGGGGCCAGCAGACGCCCAGGTTCTGTTCAAAGGGATGTGCCAAAGATGCTTTCTGGCGGTCACTGAGCTCCTCAGGGTGCACGCTGCGGGGGATGGTTGAGGTCAACCAAGACTGTACGGGGAAACAGACCTGAAATTTGCATTCCTCATTTAACGAAACTTAAAGCTCTACAATGTGGAAGTATGTCCAGAAAATGAAATGTATACTAGTGTATAAAAATGCCTTTCTTGTTTGAAGAAAACAATACCATCGACGATCTAAGGACATCAGATTTTACTAAGGAGCCTGCACTATTCCAAGTCTAGGAATGCAGTGGCTCAGACTCCGCTGAGGATTTGAGTCACCTGAGGCTTTACAACTTCAGATTCCTAACCTCATACCGCGAAGGCGATGTGCAGGTTTGAGGTGAGACCAGGGGAATCCAAACTTTTAAACAAAGCTCCAGGAGGTTGCAATGCAGCCAGCCTCCCAAGCACTCGAGTGAGTCACATCTGAGAACCACCGTGGAGGAACACAGAGTAAGTCTTGGATGTTGCTCCTAAGCTCAAAGAAGATATTAAACTGGAATAAGGTTGACTAATATCCTTTAAAAAATTCCACCTACTATTAAAATAAACACCTAAATAATATTTTTAAGAAATTTTAAAACACATGCCTGAGCTTTGAAGAAGGCAGATGTAACTGTCGAGGCCCAAGGCGAAACAGGAGCATGAACCGGGAGTGTCTAAGGGAGTGCTGAGGGGAGCAGGCGCCCTGAGCGTCTGCGGGTCCCCAGACACGAGCTTTGGTGTTAACGACTTATGGGGACAGAGGACAAAATCAAGAACATTGTAAGGTGAGAAGCTGGTTCAGAGATCCTCAGGGAACGGCAGGACCACCTAGGGCTACCCCTGCAGGAAAGGTGACCCAGAAAATAGTGCGCCTGCAAAGGGAACAGCAGGGATGTCGTCCCAGAGGACGACACTGCAGTCGGCTCTCGCGCCTCTTTCGGGCCCTAATTCACACTTCCTCTGTGATCCCAAATATACCAAGTTGAGAATTTTGTTTAAAGAGTTGATTTTATTGCATAAAACTCTAGAAAATGCAAACTAATCTATAGTGACAGGAAGCACATCAGTGGTTAACTGAGGATCTGGGATGGTGGGCAGGAAGAGGGGAAAGGATTACAAAGGAGTAGGAGAAAGCTTGGGGGGGAGGTGACAGACACGCTCATTATCTTGATGGTGGTGATGATTTCATGGACAGATACACACGTACATATGTCAAAACATCAAATTGTACACTTTAAACATGTGCAGCTTACTTATGAAAAGAACACCTCAACAAAGCTGTGAAAAAGGAACTTGATGAGTAAGTTGAAGAGCAGATTAGACACAGGTGAGGTGAGAATTAGTGAACTGACTGAGCTAAAAGGAATTACACAGAATGCAGTAAAGACAGATAAAGAGGAAAAGTATTGAAGAGGAGTAGCGAGATAAAGAAAATAGAATAAGAAGGCCTATGGGGCCAGTCCAGTGGCGTAGTGGTTAACTTTGTGCACTCTGCTTCAGCAGCCTGGGGTTTGCAGGTTCGGATCCTGGGCTTGGACCTACGCACCGCTTATCAACCCATGCTGTGGCAGGCGTCCCATATAATGTAGAGGAAGATGGCACGGATGTTAACCCAGGGCCAATCTTCCTTGGCAAAAAGAGGAAGATTGGCCACAGATGTTAGCTCAGGGCTAATCTTCCTCATGAAAAAAAAAAGAAAAGAAAATAAGAAGGC